ATTTAGATTAAAGCAAAAAGTTGTACCTATTTTCCCTCAAGTTTTAACCAATTAACCAAATGACAGTTGGTTAGCTATTTACAATTCATGCCTTCCATAAATGACAACAGTTTCATTACAATTTTTAGTAATCGATCCTAAAGATTATTCTTTCATGGACACGTGAAAAAAACCAAACCATAAACCACATTCTCCTTCCATAGTACTCTGAAATACAGGACCAGTTTATTCATTTATTATTGTAGAATTCAATGCATGTTCTTTAGTCTTAGAGTTAATCAGGGATTACAACCAAGGAATAGTTGGGACTCTTCTTAGAAAAATAGATTAAATGTTTGTGTTTGAGACTGTACACTGCATTAAAACAATATCTAGGAGGAAAAAGGAGAATATTTATTTGAATTCTAATATGTTTTCAACAGGGCTACAAGCCACAACACACCAAGTAATTATGGCTATGTAGGCAAAATTTTAATTGCCCTTCAGCCCCTAGCAGATTACTCCCGGGGGAATTCCATGCCAAAAAATTCTGTGCACAATATTTCAAAATTCTGCATATTTTATTTGTTAAAATAATACCAAAATAATTGAAACTGGCCTGATTATATTGTAATTTATTTTCGAATATCTATCAGCAAGTATTCCTGTAACAATACAGACAACAAAAAAGATTCAGGAAATGTTTTTTGACAAACAGATTCCTTACTAGGCATAGTAATACTGAACTCTGAATGCAAATTAATTTAAACTACAATACAGAAACGTATTTCCTGCACCCCTCAAAAGCAGTGCAAAGGCTGGGGGAAGAAGGGGGTGGGGGGTAACAGAGGAGCTGAGGGACGTAATTGCTGAGAAGGAGCCTGGGTGTGATCTTGGAAAGTTGTTGGGTGCGCGTGGGAAAAGTATGCAACAGAGGGTTTTTTGTGGGGGAGGGACTGTTAGGGAGTTGGGGAGCCTCCCCCGTGCAGACCCTGGCTGACCCCTAGCCTCTCCCACTTAGTCAAGCACATCTGTCCTATGTCCCTGCATCCCCACTCAGCCACCGCTCCTCCCCCCATCCTCACGTGTCCCTGCATCCCCACATAGCCAACCCGTCTCCCTCCAGCCCCAATTGTCCCTGCACCCCCACTCAGCTACCTGTGCTCCCCCATCCCTATGTATCCTGCACCCCCACTCAGCCCACCATCCTCTCCTGTCCCCATATGTCCCTGCACCCCCTGGTCCCTGCAGCCCCATGTGGCCCTGCACCCCCACTCCCATTTAGCCCCTAGCTCAATGCTGTCACCCCACTAGCTCCTGTGATCCCACCCCATCTGTTCCCACCACTAGCCCCTCCACTAGTCTAGGTGACCTCCCCCCGCCCCCCCAGCAGCTCCTCATGCCCTGCTCTATCCATCCCCCTTATATCCCGTACATCTTTACTTGGCCCCGGGGCAAGGAGCTGTGAGTAAGGCAGCCTCTCCCCCTTCCTCTCCACAGTTGGCTTAGCTGGCTGCCCTCTCTTCTGGTGCCACAGCAGCCCCTGAAGGGCGAAAGGTGTAATTGCAGCACCTTCCTGGCAGAACATATTTTCTGCGGTGGGAGGGGAGAGTAGTCTGTAGGGGACATGAATTCTGTGCATGCAAAGTGGCACAGAATTCCTCCAAGAGTAGTAGATGCCCCAAGATATCTGGGTTCCAATGAGGAAAGACAGCTAACGGTAAGGATAAGCCTGTGGCTGGGATCATGGAAGATAGGGACAGTCAAGGGAAACATATCTCGGAACAGAAAAAACAAATCTCTTTTGGGTGGAAGGTATATAGTGCCAGTGGGGAGGAGAGGCTGGAGTTGGTAGGGAACTACCGTTGAAAGAGGAGAAAGACTGCAATAGAAAATACCAGGAGAGGACAAGAAAGCAGCCTAACAAAGTTTGTGAAACAAAATGGCCGACTCATGAGTGAACATGGCTGGTATGCTGGTTGGAGAAGAGCATCGCTGCTGGTCACAGCTCTTAAGAGGTCAGTCTTGGCAATGCGCCGACATAATAGTGTTCAATAGGGATCCACATCTTAAAGAACACATGCTTTTAGGATTCAAAGTCTTTTGAGCTTAGTCCTCTTTTGTGTTTTGGGGCGGAACTGTTATATTTTGGCAATTTGAGAGAGAGAAGTAATGCTGACAAGGACCGAGAAAAGGAAAAGGAAAATGAACTGATATGTATGAAATAATGTCTTTTGGGTGGCCAAAGACTGTCACCTTTAACTCCCTCTCACTCTTAATAAAATAAGCTCAAATCACTCCTCCTTAACCCCACCCTAAAACAACAGTTTCACACAATTTAGTCTTAGTATCTTGTATTTCATCCTGATATTATGAACACCCTGACGAGCTTTAAATGAGATACAAGAATGAAATGGAAGGTGGGTACAGACAAAGATTTTCTAAAATGTTTGCCTAAGGTTAAGACTCCTAAATCCATAGTAACTGGCTTGACTAACAAGGGTGCTGAACATTCAATAGCTCCCTATGAAGCCCAAGGGCAACTGCTGAGTGCTCACCACCTTTGAAAGTCAGGCTGCTTGTTCAGGTGCCTAGATATGAATTTAAGAACCTAATCTAGGCTCCTCTTTTTAAAAACCTTGACCATAGTGTGACGCTGGCAGACCAGATGCCAGCTCATGCCAAGGCCTCAGGCCTCACTGAACACTTACAAATTCATAGCTGGAAACCAGTCTTCCTTACCTGTGTGTTAGCATTATCAAAATAAATGTTAGATGTTATGTTGATAAGAATGTGTTTAGTGTTTTCTGAAATGCTTGTAGGATGCTGCAAAGTATTGTTCTCACTCAGCTATATGGAGATATACCTATCTCATAGAACTGTAAGGGACCTCAAAAGGTCATCGAGTCCAGCCCCCTGCCTTCACTAGCAGGACCAAGTACTGATTTTTGCCGCAGAGCCCTAAGTGGCCCCCTCGAGGATTGAACTCACAACCCTGGGTTTAGCAGGTCAGTGCTCAAACCACTGAGCTATTCCCTCCCCTGGTTAAAAGGGATTTGAACTGGGGTCGCCTACTTCTTAGCTGGATACTGTGACCACTGAGCTATGGAATATCCCATGTTGCAAAGCGAAAGCAATCATTTGCATTGTAAACCTCTGTAACTATTTTCAGAGTAGCAGCCGTGTTAGTCTGTATCCACAAAAAGAACAGGAGTACTAGTGGCACCTTAGAGACTAACAAATTTATTAGAGCATAAGCTTTCGTGGACTACAGCCCACTTCTTCGGATGCATAAGTTATGTTATAAATTTGTTAGTCTCTAAGGTGCCACAAGTACTCCTGTTCTTTTCTCTGTAACTATGTAACTCATCAAACAGGAAAAAAACATTGTGTAATGAAAATGATGGTGGTCTGACAAGAAAATGTTAAATTCTGTTAATTAAATGCAAATGAGCCATTGTATGGAATCAAAGATCAAAGTCTTTAAGCGCATTCACCCTCCACATGAAGAAGGGACCTGTGTGGGGACTGTCAGTTTGGTTTCTATGAGAATAAGCTATAAATCGGACACAAGGAAAAATCCTTCATATCTGGAGTGTCCGGATCAGTGGTTCTCAACCAGTGGCCCAATTAGCACACAGCTGCGGGTCCAGGGGTGGGGTCCAGGTTCCCGGTTACCCAGATGGTGGGGTTCAGTACTGCATCCTGGCTCCGTGAGCTCCGGGGCAGCTGCGCAGCGGGTGTCTGGGGCTTCCGGACGGTCCCATGGGGTCAGGCGCAGCCGCCCGGCCCCGCAAGCTCCAGGGCAGGCATGCCACAGGAGTCTGGTGCCCAGCGGGCTGGGCATGTGGGCAGCTGGCTGGCCCTGCACAGCGGGGGTCAGGGGCAGGGCTGCCGCTGCCATGCCACCCGGTCCCTGCGGCCCAGGTAACACATTGTGAGCCACGATAGATAAGTTGAGAACCACTGGTCTGGATTCTAACAGAGCAGAATAACTGAACAAGAAGTTTGAGATCTCCAGAGTTACTCTGGGTAGCCCTTAAAGACTGTTAGGAAACGGTCAGAGTACAACAATCTCTGCTGTTTTTGAAATTACAGACCGTGACTCACATGTACATATATTTTTACCTGCTTTAACCTCTCAATAACTCTTATTCCTTTTTCTTAGCTAATAAATCTTTGGTTAGTTTACTATGGAAGTAACTTCTATAGCGTTGTCTTTGGTGTGAGATCTATGTGCAAACTGACCTGGGTGAGTGACTGGTCTCTTGGGAGTCAGTGTAAACTGAATATTTTGTAATTTTTGGTGTAAGTGACCATTTATCACATAGTCCAGCTTGCCTGGGTGGCAAGATAGCCTGGAGTGTTGAAGGAAGCTGTCTGTGACTCCACTATAAGACTATTGTATTACTTTGGGAGTTCACATTTGGTTCTGGGTTGGTGAAATCTAATGATAGAACATACCCCGGGTGGGGGGGGTGTCTGCCTTGCTTTTTGACAGTCTGCCCGGAGGTTGGCATTCTGGTCGTGAGCCACTCCAGACAGCATGATACATAGTATTTTAGAGGAGAAACTGAGTGAGACTCAATAAATATCTTGCAAGATATTTGAACTTCCGTCAGAGAGAGTTGTTTTACCAAAATAAAACACCTATTTTTAAACAAGCCTCAACTCTTACAAACAGATTTGATTCCCTGACAGTTTCTGTCCCATTGACTTTAGCAGCTCCCTGTCAATATCTGAAGTATAGCTGCATTAATCACATATACCAAAGTGCTTATTAATGCCCTATCTAATGAGAGGAGATTGTAGAACATTTCTGTATTTGAAATATGGATTTAATGATTTGCTAATAATGTGAAGTAATTATTGTCAGTTATATCAGATTAAAATCACTTCTCACCCATAATCTGTTATTAACCCAAGAAACATTTTTACTAGTGATTTTCTTTGTTAGAATTCTCCGGTTCCAAAGGTTGTGAAACTTTAGTTCTCATTTCACAATACTGCTGTAGACTTACCAAGGTCGATAAGTATTGCATGTTGCTGGGAAGTTAATTGTTTTAAGAGTTCTTTGTAGGGAGTGTCCTTTGGCTGCTGCTTACTTGGAAACTGATGTTTAAGATGGTATTGTTCTGCTAAAAACTTCCAGATCTCACCCCTGTGATGACGTGGTACTCCTTGCAAGAAAGGGGAAAAAATAAGGGTGAGTGGGAAATACATTACTCTTCTAATCACACGAGTTAAAATATGTCTCAAGTAAACAGTCCAGTAGAACCTGAGAGTTCTGAACCCCAGAGTTACGAACAACCTCCATTCCTGAGGTGTTCATAACTCTGAGGTTCTACTGTATTAGCAGGAGTGAGGCTTGGGAGATCTATCTAACAGAAATTATCTGTAACATTCCAAGTTATACACCCTGCGAAAGACTATAGAAGCTGGCTATGCAGCACGCCTACCTAGTTGGAATTCAGGTTGATCTGGTTTGCAAAATGTACCCTCTTTCCCCCACCTGCCAAAGCATAAAAATCCTAACAGGGGAGGCGCACACTGGTCAGGGGGTTGGCCTGGCAGCTGCATAAAGCTGAAATTAGCATTATGCATCCATTTTGAGAAAAAAGCACCATTAACAAACAGCTGCAGTACAAGCTTCCTTACGCAAGTACCAGCCACATAGGCCTCTAAGCAACCTAAGACTGTCAAACTGTGAAGTTACTAGTCTTCTCCACAGCTTTCCAAGCTGAAGTACACAACTTAAAGCTTTTTGATGGAATTGATATAGACTACTTTCTAATACCACAAACTGCACTGTTGTCCTTCTGGTTGGCACAAGGTACAGTGCATTAGGATTCATGCACACCATAAGCACCCAGCATGTGCAATTCAGACATCATCTAGAGATTAAAACACAGGCCTGACAGTTAGGAGACATGTGTCCTATTCCTACTTCTGCTACAGGCTTGCTGTGTCACCATGTTTTAAAGCCTCACTTTCCCCATCTGGAAGAGGAGATAATGCTACTTTCCCAAATCACATAGGTGATGGGAGGCTTAATTCATAATTACTTGCAATGCACTGAAATCTGTAGACAGAGAAGTGCAAAGTATTATCATAACTAGGGCCCTACCAAATTCACGGTCCATTTTGGTCAATTTCACGGTCGTAGGATTTTAAAAATCATAAGTTTCATGATTTCAGCTATTTAAATCTGAAATTTCATGGTATTATAATTGTAGGGGTCCTGACCCAAGAAAGAGTTGTGGGGGGGCCACACGGTTATTGTAGGGCGGGTTGCGGAACCGCTATACTTACTTCTGTGCTGCTGTTGGCTTTCAGCTCACGAAGAGTTGCTTTCAGAGCTGGGCAGCTAGAGAACAGTGGCTGCTGGCTGGGATCCCAGCTCTGAAGGCAGAGCTGCTGCCAGCAGCAGCGCAGAATTAAGGATGACATGGTATGCTATTACCACCCTTACTTCTGTGCTGCTGCTGGTGGGGCACTGCCTTCAGAGCTGGGCATCTGGCCAACAGCCGCTGCTCTCTGGCTCTACCCAGCTCTGAAGGCAGTGCAGAAGTAAGGGTGGCAATACCGCAATTCCCCCCTAAAATAACCCTGCAAACTCCCTGCAACTCCTTTTTAGGTCAGGACCCCCAATTTGAGAAAAACTGGTCCCCCCCTGTGTAATCTGTATAGTATAGGGCAAAAGACCAGATTTCATGGTCTGTGACGTGTTTTTCATGGCTGTGAATTTGGTAGGGCCCTAATTATACTGGGTTAGGCTCTGTTACTATTCAACATGCATAATTGTACTTTACACTAAGAAGTCAATAGGACTACTCATAGCATAAGATTCTATTCAATGCAAATAAGGATATTCCAATCTAATCTTAAATGTGTTGGAATCAAGGGTTCAGTTTTAGAGTAATCTATGAGTTGTGTTTTTTATTGTTTCTTTTGGTAAATATTTAAAACATAGGAAGAGGTCAATACACGAGGTCAAAATTAACTCAATTATCAAATACGGGCTGAGTGAAGTCAGACCAAAACTTTTTTTTTGGGAGGTGGGGGGAAGAGGAATGCAGATTCTGCTACACTAAAACAACTTTTGTCAATTTCACTCAATTGTTTCAACTGGGTGAAAAACAAATGTTTCATTTTTGATATTTGTGAGAAAAATTATTTTTATTCAAAACAGCTTTGTGTTTTGAAATTTCTTTTAATTTTATTTTAAATTTAAAAAAAAACATTGAAAGGTTGAAATCAAAGATGTTTTGTTAAACAAAACAAAATTTTCCTTAACTTTTCAGAATTGCCCATGAACTGAAAAAATCTGTTATTGGCCTAGCTCTAGAAGAAATATATACAAGAACAATTTTACAGTACTTCCTTACATAAAAACTAAAATGAATAATTATTTTTCTGATATGTATTTTTAATAGACCATCGTTATCTCCAGATCATTACTTTATAATGAAACTTCAGTAGGAACAAGTTAAGAGCAAAACTGATATTTGAAGCAAAACCACAGCACAATGTACAAAGGAAGTATTTTCACAAACTACTTTCAGTGTTTTTAACTTGGTTACTGAATAAAAACACATCAAATGGTGTAAACAGGCTTTTGGAGTCACTGAAGGAACCAGATTCTGTTCTCAGTTACGCTCCTGCAATTCCATTAGCTTCAATTGGGTGAATAGGTAATTGCCAGTAGACTTTGGCCAACAGTATAAATCTATTGCTACTGTATACACCATTATAGATCAATTAAATCCCCTTCAGGGCAAATAGTTGATAAATTATTCCCATATCAATTACAGCTGTGCACACTGCAACATCCACATAAACAAGGTATTTAGTCCAGCATTTCCACAATTGAAGATATTTTGTATTTAGATTCTATTATTGACTGATACTGGTTGAAGCAAGCAGATAAATATATTTAGTATAACAGTAAAAAGTTACTAGAAAAAACTCATTTTGAATTAGGATTTGTTGTATAATATATGTTTGTTAAATTCTGCCTTTTTTTTTTTTGGGCCATTCATCTCATGTTTTCCTCCTCGTTTTTTTCTTTTTTGGTGGAGTTTCTTTCTAAAATCAATTTAAAGGACATTTTGTTCACGGTCAGGAATTAAGTTAGAAACTTGAAGCCTCACACTGGTATTTTGGAATTATAAATCAACTGGTCTGGTGTCACTTGCCTATCTAACAGTGGATAGATAGACAGGCTCAACAATTTTGCTGTCCAAATCTCTTTTCCCTTTAGGATGAAGTTTATTAAAAGTGAATGTCACATACTTTATACTCACCTCCATGGTTGCAACCATGATTTAAAATCAATGGGGGCGGCACATGTGTAG